ACACACACACACACACACACACACACACACACACACACACACACACACCAAAATAAAACAGAAGTAAATTTTTGTGAGAAACCTTTAGACCTTTCATTTTGAAGTAATTTAGACTTACTTCAGAAGAATTGCAAGCTCGGAGAATTCCTATAACATTCTCACCCAACATCCTCTAATGGTAACATTATGTCATTACAATGATTGGATTTTAATATAAAATGCTCGGCAGCCTTATTGGTATGGTTTAGATTTCATGTTGTAACTAACCTTTAGGAATCTACTACTAGCTGGGTATGGTGGTACATGCCTATAACCCAGCACTGAAGAGGCTGAGGTGGGAGGAGTATCATACAATCAAGACCACTGGGGCTATAAAATGAGTCCAGGGCAAGCCTAGTCTACATAGCAAGACTTTATCTCTAAACAAACAAACAACAAAACAAATAAGCAAACAGATAAAGTGTCCATTACTTATTTGAGCCTTTATACAGTATCTATGACTACCTGGGGAAAAGTTGTGAGGTTTTCTCCACTCTTCTTTTTTTCCAAGTGCATGTGAATAATTCTTTTATATACTTCAACAAAAATTACCTACCATGAAAGAGGGAACTCAGAAGAAGATATGAGAACTACTTTTGCTTTCAATTAGGCTGGATATTAAATAGATTTACAAAAGATGCAAAACAAGACCCATTTTTAAAAGTAATAAATCACAAAGAAACTTATTTTAAAACAAATCTTGGTATACATAAAGTTTTTTCATTTATTAAAGAGAGAAAATTTGCATATTAATGAGATAGATACTGATGAGCTTTAAATAATATTTTTTTGAGATTCCATCCATGTATACAATGAACCATCACGCTCCTTATTTTATCCTCCAGCTCCTTCTATGCCCCCAACACAGTCCTTTCTAACTTCATGTTTGTTTGGTTTTCTTAAATAACCCATTAGGTCCAGTTAGTGCTGCCCATATATATACATATATCGAGAGACACATGTTTTTATTTCATCATGTCTCTGATCCTTCTCCCCACTTTACATCCCACATGTGTGTGAATTCATATGACGTTTGTGTGTCTGTGTCTGGCTTTCTTCACTTATCACAGTGCCCCCCAGGTTCACTTATATGGTTGAAAATAATATAATTTTCTACTTTTCTATGGCCAAATAGTTTTCCACATAGGCATTTTCTTTATTTATCCTTTATTTTAAAGTTGTTTTTATGTGTGCATGTCTCTTAATGGACACAAGTTGATTGCATGTCAGTTGTGTATAGTGCCACAATGAACATGAGTATGCAAACATCTCTGACATAATGACTTCATTTTTTGGATACACACATATATATGTGTACATACTGACACCTTTAGTTTTAATTTTCAGAGAAATTTCCGTACTGTTTTCTATAATGTCTGCATTAATTCACATTCTTACATCAGAATACCAATGTTCCTTTATTTCTATGGACCTCAAGGTTTTATTTTAAAAAATTGCTTTATGTATATGGGTGTTTCTCCTGCATGTATGCCCATATACCACATGTACACAGTGCCCGCTAGGGCAGAACAGGGTGTAAGGTCCTCTGGAACTGGACATCCAGATGGTTGTGAACTGCCATCTGGGTATTGGGAGTAGAGTTCAGGTCCTCTGCAAGAGCAACAAGTAATCACTGAACAATCTCTCTAGCCCAATGGTTCTCAACCATCCTAAAGCTATAAATATATTAATTGTATTAATATATTTTCTCATGTGGTGACCTTCAACTGTAGAATTGTTTTTATTGCTACTTCATAAATAAATTTGCTACTTTTTTGAATCCCAACGTAAAATCTGAAGTGCAGGATATCTGATATGTAACCCCTGTGACAGGGTAATTCAAACTCCCAAAGGGGTCATGAATCACAGGTTGAGACTACTGGTAGAGCCACTGTCCCCAAGGTTTTTAGCTTTATGTATTTGCTGCCCACCCTTCTAACAGGCATGGAGTGATATCCTACAGTGTTTTGACTTGAGCTTCTCTGATGATTAATGAGGTTGAATGTTTTTTTCTAACAGCAGGCCATTTGTATGTATTAAGAGGTGTCTACTCAAGCCCTTTACCCATTTGAAAACAGAATTGTTTTCTTGATACAGTGTTGCTCGACTTCCTAATGTATTTAGGTTGTAACCCTTAATGAGGTGTATGGCTTGCAGGAATCCTTTTTTTCCTCCATAGGTTGCCTCTTCACTCTGTTTTTTTTTTTTTTAATCAACTATGTATCTAGAAGAAAAGCATGTAACTGAGCCTTTAGGACAGAGGCTCAGTGATTGGTGCCCTAATGATAATTTTGTTGTTTTATAAAATATAAGGTTTGGTTTTTTTTTCATGAAATCATTTTATACGATTACATACTGGGCTTGTAACTATTTAAAATAAATAAATATTGAAAAATATTTATTGACCTTGAGTAAAGGAGGGAGGGAGGCTGGGAGCCTTATTGTAGAGAGCTAGGCAAGAAGTTAGACATCTCAGTCATGAGCCTGTCATGCTGGGACAGCCTCTGGGAAACACAAGGTCTTGGAGGCTGAGGGCTTACTCAGTGGCATCTGCTGTCGTGGAGAGTAGAGAGCACGTGCTCACAGCCTCTGTGCTTTGTGTTCTCAGGAGGCCCAGTCAAGGAGACAACTGACTGAGCTCTGTCATGCCAAACTCTTCAAAATGTCACCTTTTGCATTGTGTGCGTGTGGGGGGGGAGGAGGGAGGAGGGAGGGAAGGGTTACATTTACATTGCCCAGTTATCCTGGAATCTATGATCCTCCTGCCTCAACCTACAGAGTGCTGGGATCACAGGCATTCACCACCATGCCAAATTCATCTCTTACAATTCATCTAATTTATTTCCAATCCCCTATTTCTGTATTCTCCTTTTTTTCTTTCACTTCCCCCTGAAAAGCACTTGATTCCTTCTTGAATTTCGTTGTTTTTTTCCCTCTTAACACTGTGTCAAATGCATCTAAAAATATGTTGTTCATGTTTAATTTCCAACTTCTTAATTCAGAAAACACAGGGTCTGTCTTTTAAGTTCTAATGAGCCTGTGTCATTTCTACCAGCTGTTTTGTTCCTGCATGCCTGGACCTCCAGCTGTTTGGCCTGCTAGAGATCACTCACCCAGCTGCTAAAGCCAGATGCAGGGTTTCTATTGCTGTGGCAACCCTGTCACCATGGAACATCACTGGTCTAGTCACAGTCATCAGTGAAGCCTGCTGTTATTGGCAAACTCAGGGCTCTCAGTGGCTGTATCTAGCAAAGGTTCATTTCTTGCTCAAATTACAGCATGATGTATATCACAGAGACACCAGGCTCCAGGCTGCTTCATCTTGCAACTCTACCATTTCTGAATCCTTCTTCTAGTCAGTGGATAGGAAAACAAGAGGGCAGAGAAGGCTCACTGGCACCCAACTGCCTCAGTCCAGGAATAGCACACACAATTTTCTACAGAGAATATCACACTGTCCCTTGATATTTTTGTTGATTTGGACCTCATGAAAGCTCACCTCTGACTCTAGCCTCGGGTGTTGGCTTAGCTGTATGTTGCTGCCTAGAGGGAATGATGTAAGGGAATTTCTTGAACCTTTATATAGGCCACTGTTGCTCTATTGAGTTGTGCGATAACTATAGACCATGCGCTAGCACCTGGTTGGCTTGCTTGCTCTTTAACTGGAAACTATGTGTTTCTTCTTTTCTCTCTCTTCCTCCTTCCACTGTGAGGCAGCGAGCGACAAGCATATCCAGTGGCTGCTGGGAGCAGATGGCGAGGTCTGGGTGTGGGTCATGGGTGAAGGCCCTGGAGACAAGCCCTATGAAGAGATATCTGAGGAACTGATTGCTGAGCGGGCACGGCTGCAAGCACAGAAAGAGGCTGAAGAGCTCTGGTGAGAGGTGCTGGCTGGGAGGGTGCTGGGTCAGGCCTGAGCCTGGAGCTGTGGGTAGATCTAAGCCATGGGTGGAAAAATGAGGTGCTGATCACTGGTTGGCTGTGTTGAGTTCTGTAAAGATCAAGTGACCAAGACGGTCTTCTTCAGTAAACCTTGTGGGTTCAAGTGATAGATTCAACTGCCAGCTAATCTGGGACCTCAGTTTTCTCCTGTTGGGGATATGACCTAAAAACCTAACACCCCTTTCTGTATGTATGAAGTGTACACTCACCTGGATGGTATGGACAGCATGGTATGTGTGTGTGTGTAGTGCATGTTCATGTACTCATGTGCCTGTGTTTATGTGTGCATGTGTGTGTGTAAAAGCCAGAGGTCAATGTCAGATGTCTTCTGTTGCTCTCCACACTATTTTTTGAGGCAGGGTCTCCCATGGAACCTGTAGCTCACCAATGTAGCTAGATTGTGTGGTCAGTGAGTTTTATGGATTCTTCTGTTTCTGTCTCCTTAGTGCTGGGATTATAAGCATGTGTTGCTGCATCCAGATTTATACGAGGATGCTCAGGATCTAAATTAATTTCCTAGTGCTCACATGGCAAGTCCTTTACCAACTGAACCATTTCTACAGCCCCAGCCACTCTGCAGAGTTCTCTCGGGATGGTCTAGCCATAGGGCTCCACCTTGGCTATGAGCTGGTCCTCTGCACATTATTTACATTTTCACAGTAGAAGGAAAGCTAAGTCCTCAGGAAAGTTTGGAGTCAGGCTCCTTCTATCAACAACTTAATTTTTTTTTTCTTGCCAAACTTGAAAATCTATGTAACGGTGCCTTCAGCATCCTCCCTCCACCCCCATCAAGTTTGAATGATGGTGTTTTAGTTGTGAAATTGTAAAAACATGTATAGAAGACTGAAGACTAGAATGAATTAAAGAACACCCACCACCTGTCACCCAAGCTAACCTTGAAGACTATTTAAGAGACAAAACAACAACTTTATTTATACCTTGCCAAATCCCATCAGCTCAAATCCCTGTGCTGTTGAAGATTCTTGTGTAGTGTTCTGTTATACAGGAATGCGGCTTATTGCTTATCATTTCTCTCTATAAACATCTTCGGAACATCTCCTATATACACCTTCTTCTACTTGAGTAAGAACTGGACTTGCTTGTATTTTTTCTTGGCTTCCAGAATGGTGCTGCTGTTTGGCTGTTCCCTACAAGAGTGTCATCTCTCTCCTCCTTTACCCTGTTGAGTTCTGTTGATCTTTGCCTTTGCTGTTCTATGTACCAAAGGAAAACCTGACTGTTGCTTTTATTTGGAGTTGCATTGAGTCATCATCTTCTAGTTTTTCACCCAAGCTTACTCCTGCTGCTGCTCTCTTGGAAGGAGACAGAAGGAAGCAGAGATCACTAAGAAGTTTCGGGATGCCTTGGCCAATGAGAAAGCCCGGATTCTGGCGGAGAAGTGGAAAGTGGAGATGGAGGACCGCAAGGCAGCTAAAATCCTGGAGGAACGTATCCATGAGGAATTCAAGGTGGGTGTGCATGAGGGTCACTTGCACTTGCCTCTAAGGTCAGTGTGGCCACTGTTTCATTTGAATCTGTTCCTGGCTATTGGTTTGTCTTGGGTGTGTTACAAGACAGAAATCTGGTGAGCTTGTGGAGGAAAGAACTTGACACACCTTAGGCCCATCTTCTTTTTGTTGCATAGATGAGGGAGGTGAGGGCCTCATAAGGAAAGGGAATTGCCAAGGCCACATGTGATAGTGGTTGAGTACAGAGTCACGAGAATATTGGCCTTCTCTGCCTCAAACGGAGAATGCTGTGAAATGAGGCCCCAGGAATGAGCTTCTAACCAGATCAGCTGGAACTCACTTCCAGTTCTACTACTGACTATTCTGTGACCCTGAGCTGCTTGGTAAACTTTTCTAAGGAATTGCCTTGTTTTTGGTTAAATAGTAAAAAGAATAAACTATTTCAGTTTTTTTCTTTTTCTCTTTCTTCTTTTCCTTTCCTTTTTTTTTTTTGGGGGGGGTTAGGTTCTCACTATGTAGCTCTGGCTTACCTTAAACTCCCTCTCATGTCCTGTGATTAAAGATCTATACCAGCATGTCTGGAAAGACTTTTATTTTATGGAAACTTGGGGAGAGGACAAAAGTCTTGTCCTAGGAATGGCTGATCATTTGGTGTTAGTAGCTAAATCTAGAGGATCTTGGAACTGGTAAATGAGTTTCACTGCTTTCTTCTAATGTGATGGTCAGCTTTAGTTGTCATCTAGACATAATCTAGAATCACCCAAGGAAAGGAGTCTTCATGAGGAGCTGCCTAAATTAGCTGGCCCATGGGCCAGTCTGTGCAACATTATCTTGATGACACCAATTGACATGTGAAGATTCAGCCAAAAAGTGGCAGCAATTCCCTGCACTTGGACCCTGGACTATAAAAAAGTGGGGGTGAGCTGAGTCCAAGCATACATACATTAATTCTCTCTCTGCTCTTGACTGGATATGGCTGTTTCAAGTTCCTGCTGCCTTGACTTCACTACAATGATGGACTACAAGCTACAGTTATGAGCTAAAATAACTCCTTTCCCCTGATTGCTTTTGTCAGAGTACTTTATCACAGTGACAGAATGGAGGCTACAACAGGTAGGGAGCTTAAATCACCTGAAAACGGTTTTTGTTGTTGTTGTAATATGGGTGGAATACATTTATTTAATAGAAAACAAAAAAATACATATAAGCAGAAAAAGTCATATTCCAATTCCAACATTGTACTGTTTTGTAAATTGTATTGTTGAAATCAAACAAAGCTGGACATTAGTCAAGGAAAGAAAACAGAGAGTTTCCAGCTGAGAATACAGTATCCACAAGGCCCTGAGCTTCATATTCAACATTTACCAAAAGGAAAACTTGAAACAAAAAACATGTTTGTTTTTGGTAACTACTGAAAGGAGGAGAGGGAGCTGAAATTCCTCACAGCATCTGCAGAGGTGATTTATGGGAGAGAGCACTCCAGGACAGGGCAGGGGAGAGCCTGCCCTCAGCAGTTAGAGAAGGGAAGAAGCTGGAAGGATTGGCCAGTCAGTGTCAGCATCTAACTAGATGCTGCATTTCTTTGGCCAAGCAATTAGTGCAGTGGAGGATCTGTTCTCTCTTAGAGGCTGGGGGAAGAACTCCCTCCTGGTGGTTACAGTGCAAAGAACAGCTCTGTGTGTGTGGGGGTGTGTGTCTCTGGAATCATGCTTCTTGGATAGAAGAGATGTCCTTACAAGTCTAAGTTCCTTAGGGAGTGCTCTAAGCAAATATAGCTTGGTCAGGTGCAGGCTAGACCACAGTGCACATTTGATCTGGATTCATCCCAGGGACAGGGTCTTCCAAGCTGGAAGCTAAGTTGGAGCTTGGTCCAGTCTTTCCATGAACAGCTTTGGAAGGAGTTCTGCTTGTCAGTGTCATCATAGCATCTGGGCCTTTTAAATCCTGTTCCTTCCTCCTCAGGGATTACTTCCTGAGGATGTGGAGATAGTTTCCTCATCTGTCCTTGTTCTTCTTAGTTTTGCTTATTGTGTTTTCACATGTATAGAAGCTCAAAACATTCATGAGTCAAGTTCACCAATCTTCTTTTTTATCTGGGCTTTAAGCCTAGAAAGTTTAACTACATTTGTTTTTACACTTTTCATGTCTTTGTTTCTCTGTATTGACTGTTCCTTCATCTTGGGAGAGTTGTGTAGTATTGTGCTCTGACATCTATTTCCCAGCATTGTCTTACAGCATGTGATTGAGCGTCTTCCTTTCCATTTATCTGCTATCTTGACTGGACTTACCCCCAGATCTCTACATTTTTTTCTCTATGATTTATTATTTCCACCCCAGACTAATTGTTTAATTATCATGGCCTTCAAATATTTTAAACATATATTTAGGTAAGAAAACCATCACTTTTCATTTGCAAAATGTCTTTGGCTAATAACCTCATCTATTTTTTTCTACCAACAGAACTTTTGAATACTTTTCTTACTATTCTTTTTCTCAAATAATAATCCATGGTGATTTTTACTGGGATTGTATTAAGTTGCAGCTGTATTTATGGAAAGTAGACATTTAAAAAAAATACTGTATCTTGGAGTCCCCTTCTGGAAAGTGATGTGTCTCTTGTAATCCAAAGTTGCTTTTTTCTGCATTAACTTTAATTTGACAAACTTCTAAAAGTGAATGGTTTCATAGATCCAAACAGTCTCAGTAACTTCTTTAACCTGTAAGCCTTTCTGGACCCTGGTACGATTTTCTTTTTAGTTGAAACATATGCTGGATATTTTTTGCTGTTTTGAATGAGGTTACCTCAGTATGTGTGTATAATCACATACACATATACATACATACATACATACATACATACATACATACATTCATACATACATTTTTGAATGCAGAGTCTCCTTATGTAGTCTAGGCTGGCCTTAAACACATGCCATTCTGCTCACACCTGCTTCCTGAGTATTGGAGTTACAAACGTGTGGTACCACATGGGCTCAGTGTATTTAAATCTATTTTAGTTACTGTTAGGTTTGCTGTGAGTTATATTTTTGAGAAGAGTTTTTTAAAATTTTTAAACAAAGTAGTATTTACTGTCTAAGTATTTTATGAACAATTTCAAAGATGCAGAAAGATTGGAGAAAAAAAATAAACATTTATACATTTTCACTTGAATTTACTAATAAATAATATTTGCTAAATTTTACTGTTTCTTTCACTCATGTGCATACATATGGCTATATTCATGCGATATATACATGCATATCTTTATACATACGTCTGTATATGTCTCTCTCTATACACACATATACACATAGACATATACATGTATGCATGTATATATACAGATAGATGTATTTATATGTATATTTGTGTATCTTTTTGCCATTGATTTGATAAACAATTTAAAAGAAGTTCATGTAGATGACACTAACCCAATGTCAGCTAAGAACCTTCTGAACATGGCCAGGTCACACTTTTAGGCTATAGGAGCCATACTGTCTATGTCACACTACTCAGTTTGCATTGTAGTACAATAGCCACTGTCTAGACTATGCATGTGGCTATGTTCCAAGAAGATACAATTTTTAAAGACAGTGGAGGTTAGAGTTTCCCTGATGGCCTGATACAGCTCTAAGTTCTTTTACATGCACCTCCTTTGAGTAAGGACAGTGCCATTTAATTGTTACTATACCTATTTCAGTTATGAGTAAAACTGTAAGGCATGTCCTATCTGTCATATCTAAAAGAAACCCAGGACCAATGGCTAACTGTGGTTCCTATTAGCATACCAAAGTGTCTGCTGGCCTCCAGGCTCACTCAGTACCTGTGGCTCTTCTCAGCTTTTCTCACCCTGCCCCACCCTAAACTTCTCCAGCTCATGGGCTTCTCTTCCCCCAGCTTCTCATTCCTATATAACCCCACCATTTCAGCCTTGTGCTCTCTTGCCTCCCTCTCTTGTCTCCCATCCCACACATGTCCCAATCCATTCTGCTGGCCATTTTCAGTCTACTACTTTTCTCTGCCTCTGGCTGTACTCTCCCTCATATCTACAATAAAAACCTTCCTCTCAACCATACCTTGGAGCTGTCACATCCTGACTTTATATATCTGGTACCTGAAACCCCCACTTTATACCTTGCCAATTCAATTACATACACAGAGGTTTATACTGTTGAGGTTATACATGATTTAGCTTTAAGTTGACTGGGGAAGAAAAGTATTTTATTTTCTGTATCTCCAGCAGTGATCATTATAGACTGTATTTTGGCTTCTTCTCTCCATTAATGGGGCTTAGAGTGAGGTAAGGAAGAGCTGGGCCTTGAGTTCACTGCACAAGGTGACCACAGAGGGGTCATGTTATTGGTAGAGATTCTCTGGTTGATGGTCTCCTTGAAAGCCTCATTGATGAAAGGGTGATACACTGTGAGGTACTCTGCCAGAGCTCACAGTGGTGTCGGTGAGGCCATTTGGCCAGGCCTACAGGCCCCCAAAGGACTCAAATATAGATGTCTAGGATCTTTCTCAAAGAAGATTCTAGTTTTGATGTACATATCTTTGGTTTAAAATTGAAGATGTTAAATATGCATGTTTAAACTTTAATACAAGTAGGCACCCTGATTTAGCATGGCTTCACGTCAAGAAGCTCCAGAAATGTGAGACATTGGAGACAGGCTCTAGGTGGCCTAGTCTACCCTCCAACGTATCCTTTGGAACTTATTCTGAGTTCACCCATCTCGGGCTCATCTCTTCCACCAGCAGACAACTTACAGCCCCCTTTCCTCTCTACCCTTGCTTAAACCAGACTCATGAAGGTACTGCTGTGCCTTATTAAAGTCTTCTAGGTACCGTTGGGGTAAGAGTTATTCATAGTCTTTACTGTAAGTTTTTTGAGAAAAAGGAGTTTACCCCTCCTTCATCACTTCCCGAGATCCAACCTGTACTTAAGCTCCCAGGGATGGAAAAAAATTAAAGTGTGTATTGCATTCCTATATTCAAGAATC